CTCTGTTTTTCTCTTCACTACTGGATCTACTGCTATCTTGTTGTTATGATAGGAGTCCCATAACTCATTATTTTTGGAAGTGGGCTCAGCTTTTATAGAGCCAAAGCAGTTGTAGCAGCCAGGTGGGCGAGGCAGCAACCTCTTCACAAGTGGGTGGCGCCATCCTTTCGTATTTTTGAGCTGCAAAATTAAAACATCCAAAATCCTTGTGGGCAATTCTACAACATTTAAGCAGGGATAGGAATGAACGAGGACGCTGCCTTCAAATGCAAAGTCCGCTATCATTCGCCATCGCAGATAGTGCATTAGAAGTTCGCGCATAGACGACAAGGCTCAGAGTGGCTCGAAAGTGAAAAAAAGCGGTAAAAACATGCAAATACCCTATATAAAACCTCATTTCGATCCCGGTTTGTATGCGCCCAGTTGGTTTTATCTCCAATACTACGCACTCATCCGCCCAGCTGGTTCTCCTATAAGAACTCTAGGACCCTACGAGTGACGATTTTCATGCTTTTTCGTCCTGCACCACTGAAATGCGTTTGAGGGCGGAGTCTAGAGGCGGAGTCACTGGAAAAAAGGAGGTGTCACTACCCACATTGCGCTACAGCGCCTCCGCTCACAATTTTTTTGCCGCGAAACCGGTAAAAGGTTGTTTGTTTGTCGTGGACCACACTACCCATCCCACGCAATGTTTTCAACTTTATACCTGATCGCGAACCGTGCATTTAACAGCGATTGGCAGACTGAAGTGCGCTGTCGTTGGTTACTTGAAGGCATGAAGCGCGGTAGTTTGGTAATTGCTTGGGAACAGTGGCAAGGGTGCTACATAGTGGGTAGTGGAGGAAATTGCGAAAAAGGGAAGCTAAACGGCCAAAAACTCCTCGAAATACCTTCGTTTTGCGTGGCACTGTACGAGCACTTTCGGACGAGTTCCTCGTCGGCATCGTGGCAACTTCGATAGCTACGTGCACATGTGTTCATACGTTCAAGTAGCACCGCTTTACATCAGTTGTCCTTCATAAATGAAGCGATAAGTTTACCAGTACTGATGTAGCTGTGCGACCATTTTAACGGTTGCGATGGGCGGTTATGTCATCATGTTGCACTTTGCTCATGTTGCGCTTTGCTTAGGGTTAGACGATTCCCTTAGTTGGAACAGGCGTCACGCACCTCCTGCCAAGAGGCACAATAGGCTTTCGTGTTGAGTGTGCCGACCGGGCTGTCAATTTATCGTGCCGCTTACCCTTAACATTTGATAGCCTTTGATCTTGAGGGAAGCGCTACCCAGTATCTTTGAGAAAGTTAAATGCATCCAGTCTTTACTTATAAAACTGCTCGGTAGTGGGTCTGAGGTAAATGAACGCACCTTGCACGTATAAGCGTTAAGTTATGGCCAATTTTTGGAAGAGCAACTCACGGTGATCGCATGGGCGGAAACAGTCAACTGTTGCGTCCTCCCGTTTGATGCGCCTCTTCTCCCAAAGGGGAGACTGTGAAGATCATGCCGATGAGGAAGTACAATAATTAATGCCGCGTACTTGTTCCCGCCCATAACGCTAGTGTGGAGTGCGGCTTTGAGGTTCAGAGGTAGCCTGACCGAATTTCCTGTCCCAAAAGACAAGATTTCCCCATCCACTCAAGTGCTACGCCTCTGATGAGCGTTAGAACTTACCCTGCGCAATTCTTTCCTTTTGAAGTTGTCTTGAGACGATGGGTTAAGGAGATGTGTGTTGGACCCGTCTGGGGTCCGGCTTTTGCCCATGACATAGCGTTCTCGTGATATTTTTGCTTACAAATTGTTTTCGTTGTATGGCCTTAGAAAAAAGGAAAAAACAAAACATGTTCACTCCTCACATTAAATTTCGGCGTTTTCTCTACTCAAGTGAAATCATTTCGCTTAACCGCTTTTCTATCTTTCTCAAGAATTTGTTCTAGATATCACATTTGATGCTGGCATCTGATCTCCTTTATAACATTTTTCTTATGTCTATATCTCAATAGAAATTTCAATGTGGGTTGAACATTAATGGGTTGAAAACTTCACTACTAAAAAAGAACAGTCTCCACCCCACCACGGACCTCATTTTGTTGTTGTTTTTCTGGCTACGAAACCTGCTCTGGACATCTTTTGGAATAGTAGGCGAGTGAAATGGTTCTTGATTGTATGAGCGATAAAGGGTGTTGTTGGGAGTTCTCGCTGTTTGAGTGGGTGGGTGGTAGCCATCCATACGGTATTGTTTTTAGTGACGCGAATCTCTCTATCAATATTCTTTCTTTGAGGGCTAGATTTTTCTTTTTGAGGGCTCGATTTTTCTATCTTTTCAGAAATGCTGCTACGGAAAGATGATACTCTTGGATTTTGTTACTGGTTATTGACACCCATTGTGATGGGTCCATTCATTGTCAGCTTGTTATCACCTCATATCTACGACGATACGGTACATGGATTTGTTGACGCTGGCTATGAGCACGTGTTTGAGGCATTTAGGTGAGTCTTCACTATATGCCGCAAAAAAATAGAAATTGTCAGAATCAATTCAGTAGAAACTGTCATCCCCCACGTCACGCTTTTGTTGCTTTTCACTGTCAAGCTGATTTATCAACTGCAATGAGGCTACGTAGATTGTCCAAACATGTAGATGTCTGCTCTCTCGTCTAACCGCCCAGTGTTTCGTCAGTGTGTGTGCGCAGAATGCTCGAAATCAACACAGGTTGAGAGTTAATGTATGTATCCTTCCCTATCAGAGCACGTGGTGCGTTGGAGATCCTCACCGAAAGGGATCGTATTTAGTCGACAGAAGGCGAGGAGTCGTATTCATCTTCGCGAAAAATACTTCGAATGTTGTCTTTTCTTGTTTTTTCCCTATTTAGATGCTCTGTACATACTTATCCCCTCCCCTATCCGTTTGACGGCAGGTTTTCTGGAGGTTTTCGGAAAAGGATAGGAGAGGAAGGGGGGGGGGGTTGTAGAGGAAAGAATTTATGCCGGGTGGTACTCCACGAAATTTTTCCTGAGCGGTCGGACGTGTGTTCTCAGTGACTTCCTTCTTTTCACGACGAGTCACTTAGTACTTCCACTTTCGTATGTGAGCTCCACTACCCATCTCTGCCCTTCTAGGAATATGCGCTCTTGAAGGCAGTTCCCACGATCAAGTGATCGCGAAATGCCTCTGTGCACTTGGCATCGTTGTTCGCACACGCGAAGAATGTATCACTGTTGTTACTCGAAACGGTGAGATAAAGAAGCTATAGACGCGTAATTGTTAATTGTTGCAACCAACCATTCCAACCGCGATTACTTTCACTTTGCAAGACAACGGCTTCAAGCGGAGTTGCGTGTGTAATAGCGTTGCCTGGCGTGTCGTAGGGCAATTTCCTATGCTTTCGTCGGAAATTGGTCGTCAGCCGAATCCTGTTGATCTGACTTCAGACAAACTTGTCAAGGCTCCAGCACCACTGCTAAGGGGCCTCTGTTCAGAGTTTTCCCGAGGTTTATTCGGTTCTTTCTCTATTGGGGAGTCACTTATGAGCTACTTGTTCATGACTGAGCACCTTGGAACTTAACCGTGGAGATTTCCTTTGAGTTTTCATCGTATCATCAATTCTTCTTTCCATAATAAATGGAATGGGTTGGGAACTGCAATAGTAATTATTCAGGCTTCTTCGACCATCTTTATATTTTTGTGATGTAAAAAAATTTGTAGGCGAAACTTCGGTGAAGGACTGGAACGGACGGAGCAGCAGTTGCCATCTACCATCGAGGAAGCTTGTCGTTGATCTCTGGGGAGGTGATTACATTTTCCACTACTTTTTTCCTCCATTTTTTGTTTGAGTAGTAAACAAGAAGTTGAAGACGTTGATGCCAAGGGAAAAAGAGAAAAAAAAATTTTGCTCCCATATGAAATACTTTTTCTCACTAGCACTAGGCCTTCGCCATCGTAGGATCCGCTTTCAGACATCTTGTCGTCAGACATCACCACATGTTCCGACATGGGCGACTCCGCACGTGGGATCGGTAAGGACCCCGCACGTGTATCCCACGTGGTGATTAGAACTAGCCTCCTTGGGCGAGTCGTTCTTCCTCGTAGGGCTGCGCATACTGACCACAGACCTCGGTGGAGGGTCCTCCATCGTTGTGGATGGTTAAACACGGAAAAGATGGTATTTAGCGCGCGAGGAGGGGTGGTCATTTTTGGTCCATTGTGGTTTGGTTGGTTTGGAGAAAAATTTTTTTGGTAATTGTTTTCCCTTGTTTCACAATTTTATATAAGGGTGGGGGTCGTATTTGACCGTTGTTGAGAGGCTGCCAAAGATCTATAAACTCCTTTTTCTGATAGTTGGAAATTATAGTTGAGTCCTGAGTTCCTTCCCCCCCCCCCCCTGCTCGACAGCAAAAATTTGAGGAAAAACCGGAAGGAAGTTTTGGAAAAACTGGAAGAGTTGGGGAAAAACTGATTCATTTTTCTGTTTCACATTGGTTATATACATTTCCTCCCCGCCTGAAGGAGAATTCTTGGCTAGAAAACTGGAAGTTTTTCTGTAAAAGTTGGAAAAAATGGTAGAAGTTGGCGTCAATCTAGGAAGTGGTGGGTAGCAGGGAGGAGGGGGCGTATCTGAGGAGAGAATTAGGGGGGGTCATATTTTTTAGGAAATGATCGCCAACGCGATGGCGTGCCTTGCCTGGCGCGCCCCCCACTTCCGCGTGTCATGCTAATAGTTTTAACGCTTGGTACTTTTTCTGCTCCTGATCATTTTTTTTTGATGGGGCCTCCATTAGTCGGTCTCTCAGCTCGGCTTATGATGTTTGCAATTTTTGCAAGACATGGTCCGTGCTTCGGCAGGGAACCATCACTGGCTTATAGTGCGGACAGGAGCTTACTTTCTTGACGTCTCGGCTATCCCTGGCCACAGGGGCTTTCTTTCATCTAAAATTCTTAGAACTTTTCGGGGAGGGCGGCGCGTTTTTTATGAAATGCTAAAGATTCCAGACCAATTAGGATATGCGATCGAGAATCAAATGTCATCTGGAAAAGAACACGAGGACAGTTCTGTTCTCAGCGACTAAGGTTTGTTCCAAAACGTTGTTGGCACTGAGTATGCTCCCTTCCTACGAATCTTTTTCTTTGCAGGCCATTTCTGCGCTTTGTATAGCTGTACTTGTTGACCGAGGTCTACTACGATATGATGACGCTTTGGTGGACTTCTGGCCGGAATACGGATCCTACGGAAAGGAAAATACAACTGTTGAAGTGTGCTGTCGCATAAGTCTGAATCAGTCGACTACCTACATCTTCAAAAGATGCTTGAAATAAAACGTTTTTAGGCTGGACTACCGTACCTTGATGAGGAGATCGATCTTACACGATGTCAAGGATTTCGAGGCGAATTCGAAGAAAAATGAACGTGCACGACCAGTTGGGTGCCAGGTGAGAACTGGTATTCGGTCAAATTCTTCTCCGCTTTCTTACTCCCAATCTATGTATGGCGTAAGAAAGGCCTAGAGGATGATCCCATCCGCGTTCCCTCCAACCGTGGTCGGTATCATGAGGCAAAAAACTGGTGGTAGGGAACGCGGCTGGTGGGCTCATTCCGCGACCAGCGATATCCTCTGCGAATTTTGCAGGAACAGCGAGTGGCTACCATGCGGTGACTTTCGGCTTCTTAGTAGATGGCATCGTTCGTCATGTGGATGAGAAGCAACGCGATCTGAAGACATTTTTCTTGGAGGAAATCGCACTGCCACATGGTGAGGAATATTTTTTTACAATCTTTTATTTTTTCGCAAGACCAAGTGTAAGCCTGCGTTCATACTATGTGGCAGCATCCACTACGACTACGAGTTGAGTGCATGGGGAAGAGGACTGCTGGTAGAGTATGGAGAAGTAGGAGGGAGCATACCGCCAGATTAAACGTCCTGGAATCGCAGCGTGTGCAGCCGCCGTACTACCACCAACAGAGTACTCCTGGTCGCTGGTAGACGCTGATAGGCTCTCAATTGCGATTTGTCGGGGGCGGCGAGCGCAGCGCGGCACTAGCTGGCGTCCGGCTGCCATGCTCTATCAATGGTGATCGAGCAATGATCGAGTAGGAAGGGATCAGCCACTGGTGGGAAGGCCGCAGGTGGGAACCAGTGATTGTGACCCGACAGGTCGCGGTGATATAAAGTATACTTTCCTAACCGCTCGAGACGGTTATGGTTGCTGTAAACGCTGATACACGATGGTAGACGCTACCGTTTGCCAGATCGATATCTATGCTTTCTTTGTCGCTGACGGTCTGCCGCAAAGTATAAATGCAGCCTATGTACAGTTCCACCTCACAAAGGCGAGAGGATAGCGCCGTTCGCTAGTGGAGAGTCGGCTGCACCACCCCTTGGCCAGCATAGGGTGCTATATAGAGCATTTTCCATGACTTTTATTCTGCTTTTTTCTTCAATACTGTATCGCGTATTATATGAGCTCTATAACTCACTATTTTTGAAAGCTTGCTCAGTCTCAAAGGCTAAGCCAAAGTTTTATTGCAGCGAAGTGGACGGGGCGGCATCCTCTTTACAGGCGGATGGCGCCATCCTATTTTTGAACTGCGAAACTAGTACATCCTCCACCTTAGTCGACAAATCTACGATATCTAGGGAGGGCGTAGAAACATCGAATGAACGAGGGCGCTGCCCTTAGGCACTGCAGTCCTCTTTTCTTTCGCTTGAACTCAATTATTGCAGGTCTCTCCGTGGACATCGGCGTGCGGAAAGAAGAAGCACATCGCGTGGCTCGCATAACAACCCCGTCCTTTTGGGAGTTTCTACGTGACTGTGTCAAAAACCCCAAACTGATCGCCATGCTTGGGATAATGTACGCTCGTTTGGACGACATAATCTGGAAGATGCGTGATAACACAAAGTGGCTGCTTATAAATTATGTGAGTTTAGAATAGTTTCTTTAAAACACTCGAAATACGGTTGGGTTTCGTCCAGCGCTTTCTGGAAGGTGTTTGAGAGTGTGAAAGTCCCGATGATATTTTACACGTTCAATTTATCAGTACATACGCATCCATTTCCATGACTGAAGACAGATTTCCAATAGCACATTACGAAGAACTTTCTTAACACTGAAACTGTGTGGTTGCTAATTAGTTTTCCAGTGAATGAAAACGCAAAAACTCATTGCGAACTCCTTCGAAGGAACGACCCACCGTGACCTATGGAAACAGGGTACAACATCGTTGTGTCAAACCCATGGGGGGGGGTCGTACTTTTGCTCTGGGGAGGAGGGGGTCGTATTTGGGAGACAAATTTATTCTGATAGTCGATTTTTTGTTATGGAAAAGAGGGGTCGTAGTAATTTTTTATATGCACTATATGCATTTTGTGCGCCGTGGGATATAGGTTGCATGCTTATTGTATACCTCCTCCTCTGCTGTAGCTCATTCGAAGGAAGGGAGGTCGTGCTCACACCGGCATTTCGCACATCCCCATGCTGTACCCTGGATTTTAAAAAGGCGGCGTGCAGACACTGGCTCTAAAGTCCGCCTTCCAGCCAACAACGACCCTTCCGGAGAAGTATGAGGTGGATCTCCCATCCTCCATTGTGGGGAACTAGGGTCCAATACAACAAATCAGCCGACTGGGCCTGTCCCAGCACGTTGTCTTTTGGCCTTTTACGGAGGACCCTGCAACGGCTCGGGACTAACTCTAGGGAGAATAGGAAAAAGAGGAAGAGGGGTCTTTTGGCCTTTACTTGCACAATTGTTCGAGGCCGGAGTGGTTCTATTAGAAACACACAGTTCCTTTTAGCATATTCTCTTCACAGGCTAGTCACCTTTGGCAACTTCCCTCACGTATTTCGACACCACTACCTACTCTTCATATCGCAGACCGTGCCTTTAAGAAAGACTCATCTTAACGGTGTCATTGTACCAGTTCTCCCGACCTGCTGACAAACCAGTATCCTGCGGATCGAATTAGCTTGGGCAAGGGAGGAGTCCTCCAAATTATATTGTATTCCGAGCACGGGGTTTGTCTACAGAGGCACACTCTTTCACGTTGATCGTGTGTGTGGAGGGTGCCTCCCCCACCCCGCTCGTGCGATCCTTCATTCTGCGACACCGAGCAGGACGAGGGGCGTGAATCCACTCATACGACTAGCGTGGACCAAGCCTTTCCAACAAAATGGCTATACTTCTGCCTCTCCAACTCATTCGCTTGGTCTGTAAATGTGAGCAGTTCTTGAATCCCTCTGGCAACTCAAATACTTGAAAGTGGAAGAGTTAGTTCTTCAAACTACAGCGGGCGCTAGGAAAGTTCGTAAAGATTTGGCTTGATAAGAAATACCATATTTTCCGAAGTACAGCTGTACTTGTTCAACTGGAAATTGAAAGTCAACTGTTTTTCAGGATACTGTGGCAGTCAACGATCCAGAAGTTCTGGCGCTTCCGATGCCGGCAGTGACGGGTGTAGCGAGTGCTCCTGATCTCTCACGACTTTTTTCACTTGCCCTTGATGGATCGATACTCTCAAACAGGACCCTTGAAATGATTAGCTCACCTACACTTGACAGTTGGCATCTCGAAAAGGTCCGTATCTTCATAGATCTGTGCAATATAAACGAAGTTCTATTCTTTTCCACGTTTAGGTTACTCTCTGGCCAGTACGGAAGGGCTATGGATTCTTCTACGAACGAAATCCGCTCGTACCAGTAAGCAGAGTAAAGTCAACGAAGTTGTGCAGAAGTTTCACTGTTGAATTTCAGGGTGCATTCACCTTTGGTCATCCAGGATATGGTGGCCAGTTTGTGCATGTTGATCCTGCGAATCATCTGGTGTTGGTGTATCTATCGAACGGCTTGAAGACAGGCACTGGGGAGCTATGCACGACTTACATGAGACTTCTTCGAGCAGCATACAGCTCATTGCAAGAGAGATAACCCCACCAAAGCGTTTTCACCTACGGGTACGGATCAGCCAGGGCTCAGTTATCAATTCACGCGCCGGTATTCATACTCCGTAGAAAGTTACATGAATGGTCTTTCGAAGAAGTTCTTCAAAAAGGAGAGCTTCTTTCGAAGTTCTAGCATGATGTTCAGATTTTATTCACCATCTGCGACTTCGGAAAATCTGACAATAGGCATACTTTTTCAAAACGAACTCTTCCGCGCTACTTATCTGTGCCCTCTCCATTCTGGTTGTTCTCTACCGCCGCTTTCACTACGTGATCTTAATTCCGCACTGGGAAGTATGCAGATGCCAAACGGGCATCGCTATTCTCCAGCCGTTTTCCCCACATATTTTTGAGTGGAAAAGTAGTACTGCAGGTGCGGACCCATCCACACACGTGGAAAAGATCGTCCTTGAAGGTGAGGGTACAGCGTGTCCCTAAAAAACTTATCGGTGTTGACTGCAAAACTCAGAGAGGGAGAATAAGCGAGAAGGAAATTGGCGTCTACCTCTGCATCCATTAAAGCTCATGTTACGGAACGTATACCTGAACGTAGCCAGCAATCTTTTCTGCTGCGTGCAACTCGTCCAGGCCACTATTTTCCTAGACTCACATTTAGGGGAACAAGATAGACCAATCAGGCCATCAGTCTCCTTACGGGTCCTATGTTGAACACCCTCCCTCGTGATTGATGCGGAAATCAAGGAGCAGGTGGGATCGTCCTGTGCGTAGAATTCGCCATATGAGCACAGGTAAGGTGTCCATCGGGCCCTTTGTTCTCCAATGGCACGACATGCACTTGCAAAAAAGATCAGGAAATTCTTATCGATTCGATCGATCCCCTATCGTCATCGTTCTTTCAAGTTCTCTTTGCGCTGTATTTTCCACTTTGCTGGTCCAGACGCATTTTTAATGTCTTCAAGAATTGTTTGATTCCTCCGAGGTCGCGAGGAATACCTTAAATCATCATGATCCCTGAAAACGACAGGGCGTATGACGGTGGCATGGCTTGGAGTGCAGCCAGGACAGATTTCTCACCAATTCCAGCGGGCTCAGGATGACATCATTGGTGGGAAAAGGCTGCTCTCACAGCGCTCCAGTCCGCGCCGCGTCACACGCCCTATCGTTTTCAGGGATCATCACTAATGTAATCGAATGTTCCCGTGAAAACAGTCTCTTTTAGTCAGCGCTGCCGTTCAGCTATCCAAGCCGATCTCACTTATGAACTCTCATCAAATTTGCTTGCCTTGTACCATAAGTACCAACTTGAAACACTTATGATGCGGGTTTCATTGTTTTATTTCTGTAATACTAAACTGAGAATGTATTATGAATAAAATCTTATATTACTAAGGTGCAAATTTTCCTTTCTTTACTTGTGTCAGGTTGTTATCGTTGTCATCACGCGGCATCACGTTTGATTAATGCTGTTAAACCAACCGATATTCAAGATAAGTCAACAAAAGTTTTCTCTTTCCTCTCCCTTATCATGCCCACTTATATGGAGGGGCATTTCGCAGATGGACAGAGGACAGATCTACATACCGTGCAACCGACATACCAGGATATTGTTTTGCCTATTAGGGTTACACTGATACCAAAGTTGCTCGTTAGGTTATCCGGATGCTATTAAACGTTTGTTATTATCGTCTCAGCTCATGCACTCAGCAGAATTAAGCAGGCATCAGTCTTAGGTTCTTGAGTGATACGTACTGATCTTTGTCTTCTTGGAAACAAATGTCATTTCCACCCTCAAATATGCAAGCGACTCGAGCGATAATCAGGGCACATCGTTGTTGGGGAATCCCCGTAGGGGGGGGGTCGTACTTGGGCTGAGAAAAATTTGTTTTGATAGTTGATTTTTCTCGCTTCATGACGTTGTAAAGGGGGTCGTATTTACGTTTTGCCGTTGTGGGAGTGGCGGTTGACTTTGGTGATTTTCCTGCTTCACATACTATATGCCCTCCCCCCCTCCCCCCCCTCCCCCCCGCTCGGCTCGACAGCAAAATTTCGGTAAAAAGTAGGGAAGTTTTCTTTCAGAAAATTTTGGAAAAAAGGGCAGGAGTGGAGGAAAATCTGATTGTAGAGGGAGGAGTCGTATTGACTCGCGGATTTTCCTGTTTCACATGTGCTATTTACCCCCCGATCGACAGCTCGATTTGATGAGGAAGGACATAGGGCCGGGGGGGTGTACCAATCCTCAAAAAAGGCTGGGGTCGTCGTACAGACTCGACTAAGATCCCCAACAATGATGTCCCCTGTAAATCATGACCAAGTGAAGTCGTAATCCCTGCAAATGGAAGGGCGTGTGACGTGAGGCGTAAACTGGAGTGCTGCCAAAGCGGTCTTTCCATCACTGATGCCAACGCGAGTCCACAGCAATTTGGGGGAAGGCATGTTCTGGCTGTGAACCAACTCACATTCCCCGTAACACACCCCCATCGTTTGCACGACTATAAACCAATCACATACCTTCTCTTCAGCTTCTTCAGTGTCATCACAAAGGCGGCCTATCTATGTTAAAGCGTTTGTACGCGACACGCCTTTGAAACAAGACCAGTAGTTCCTTCGCTCCTACAAACCGATATCCTAACTCGCAGGCCGTGACTCATTTTTTTTGGTTGGAAAGCACGTTCTGCGATTACTTGTAAGATCAGATGCTATTTTCTGGGGAAACGAAATGTGAACTTGGGCTACCGTGTATAAGTTCCAAGTCAGAAAGTTGTGAGGCAGGGCGCTTCCCGTTTACGGACAGCTTGAATTCAATTCCTTTTACGCGCATCAAATTTGTGTTTTTCTCTGCTCTCTCTCTCTCTCCGTCGTCCAACGTAGCACTCCATGGTCATTGTGACTCACATTCCAGCTTTTTATGCATGATAAGTGGCCCAGCCACCCCGAAGACCGTTAACTTTGGAAAAGCTCGCTTCCTTCCTCGCCATAATTTCTTAAATGCATAGATGCCTTGGAACGCGCTGTCCTCTATCTATCTGCGTCTCTTGGTTTCGCAACAGAATGATGACAGCGTCGCGATGTGTGAACTCTGCGTCTGTCAAGTCATTTATCTAGGAGAACGTGCAATTCCGCGTCTCGGAAATATTAGGTCATCCCATTCAAATGCGGTTTTTTTCGAATAGAACAAACGGTAAAATAGTAAAAAAAGTAATATTTTGGCTCCAAGAAATCCCTGCTTCATCAATGACCCGCTCCCAATACCTCGAAAGCCTTTGGGCCTCTGGTACCTTCGATTTTTCAACAAGTGCGAGTAAATTGATGTTGGTACCAATTTCGGCGAATGACAAAACATTGTAGCGTTTGCAGTCGGAGAGCACTCTCGACTGACGAGAACGATTGGAATAGCTCGGTTTTATGTGGGGCGAATGGGGCGATTGAACCCCGGTCTTAGTATTCTTGTGTCTCAGCACTGCCCTACAACACAGTTACTTGGGGTTTGGCACCATAACGAGCAACGGTGGCCTTCTTGTAGCTATGTGGTATCATCCATTTGTCGGTCTGATTGCCGAGGAACAAGCAATATACACCGACAGCGCCGATTTTATTCTCTGTATAGAGCCGCCTGAAAGCCACAGTATGGGAATCCTTCGCTATGACGATCATCCACTTGCGCCCACGTAACCCCTCATGGTAGAACTCGGGCGGCTTCTCATCTGCATTCATACAAAATTGACGATTGTGGGTTTCGACCCGAGATCCGAGACCACCCATGTTTCAACTAGGGCCGGAGTGCGTTTTCACAGTCGTGAATCACATGGCATGCCGCGAACATTACTGCTAGAGGCATAGAATCGGTACTGCGTTCGTGCTTCCACGGAAAATTAGGTACCCATGCGCACACCCTCTTGCCCATACTAAGTTTATCGGACATAACTCGGGCAGCAGTTGCAGCTGGGATGTCAGACTCGCGGGGAAACACGACGAAGGTCCAGGCTCTGTGATCAGATATTCAGTGCCTAACTTCATCCACCCTTTTTTCTTGTGCAGGATGAACCTGATGGTACCATCCACAACAACAATTTTTTTCCTTTCTTTGTTCTTCGGGCTCATGAACCAAACCTTTCACCTTGTATTTCGAGAACACCATACACACAACTACTGGTCCGGGGCCGGTCAAATTTGAATGGCGCACTTCACTCTTATGACGTCTGATTTGAAAATCGGGCGCTGTTTTTCACACTCGGGCTTCTTTTCAATTTCTCGAGAGCTTCCTCTGTGGGTAGGTTCGCCAAATTTCACAGATACACAGCTTAAGGTACTATCCTCCATGGTATACTACCACGCTTTCCTATCCCCTTTGCTTTTCTGCCATTCCTCTATATGTCACGGCACTTTTGAATGGGATGACCTAATAAATCTATACACCCCTGGTTGGCTCTCTCATGGCGGAGTGGGATGTTGTCGAAAAAGGAAGTTGAAAACATAGAGAAGAGGGTCTCAGCTCACTGCTGCTAGACGTTTCTTCACTGTTTGTTTCAGCGCTATTGTTTGCTCCTTGCCAATTGTTGGAGCTTTTTCAAAACTGTGTGTTTTGAGTGGCTTACCACCCACTCTTGTCTGGTCTCTTGCCCGGAATGTTCATCGATTCTTTGCTTGTTGCCTGGAACTAGGAGGTCTTTTTCGGAGCGTTTTTCGACGGTTTCGTCTACTTTCCTCTTCACGCCACTAAACTAAGTGTTCAGGAAAAGAGGCGGTATACAGTGCGTCAAACCTTGTCAACCAGGCGTGCTCTCGCTGCGAGGCTCCAGGGGTATTTTTCGAAGCATCTACCAGTCTACTATTTTAAGGGGGAAGGTAAAGGAGGAGGGATCAGAAGGAAGGAAGAAAAAGAAGGAAGGAGGAAGAAAAAAGGAAAGAGAAGAGAAGCTTCCTGGTTGACAAGTCCCTGGCCACACGGGAATTAGGATCACCGTCGGTACTGCTTTCTAGCCTGAACCTGGAATCAGTGGTAAAACCTCACAACTACTTCTGTCATACTTTACGGCGGGAAACTTCTGTCATACTTTTTTGAACTCAAAATACTGGCCCATCAGCTGAGGAAGGCTGACCGGCAATGTTATATTAATGCACGGATGATAGCTGTGTAAAATCAAAATGTTTTGTGTGTTTGAGCGTTTTTGACACTATGTGGCCGTAAACATAAGATTGCTATACATTTTTGATCTTGTGCGCCTCACCATAAAAAGAAAGCCTATTTGAAAAAATGACAGAACTTTCCTGCCATTCTAACAGTTGGTGCAGACAGGGGTATAACACAAGCTAACTGGGTAACTAAACCAGCTTGTTTTATTCACGTTCTACTATGTGCATCCTCAGAGACGACACATTTGATTTCACGCGCAATTTTCGGGAATACTCTATATCACCTGTTTTCCTGATCCTGTAATCCTGCTTCAAGGACAAGTCGACTATCACGCACGCATCGGTTTTCAAATCCACTATAAACGAACACAACGAATTCTGCTCATTCACTGGAAGGCCGCCTTTGCTGCTGACCATGAGATTTTATTTAGGTAACAGAAACCTGAGATTCATAGCAACCATTGCTTCTGAAGTCGGATGAGTGATAGGTAGTACTATAGTCGGGCACCACCAAAATCCTTAGGGTTAGTGGCTGAACGCTTGGGACTCCCAGAACTGTTAGTCCCCAATTCGTTTCCACTCCCATTGGTACTCTTGACTTTCGCATCGGGCAATTGCAATTACCAGCAAAGTACGGAGGTCCAGCTTCTAGAAAACGAAACCAAGTATTTGCAAGATTTTATTGCAAATTTGACAAGATAACAACAAAATTGCTAACAGTCAGCTTCAGCACCTGAGAGGCACACTGTAACACCGGCTGTAAAGACACTACAACAATAGAGAACTGATAAGACTATCAAGATCATAAAATCTTGATCTATATAACCTTTGTAACAGATACATTTCTTACAAGGACGTACATAACTGCACACACATGAAAACTACGTCGTAGAATAACTTGAACACAAAAATGTACCTAAATGGAACCGGGTGATAAATGAAAAGATTGAATTGCAGCGACTTCAATCAACCGGTATTATTTGTTACGGAACCTTACACGTTTCTCATCCTCTCTATAGGAGTTCTACAATAACATAATATAGCTACTAATGGAAATAGTACAATATGTAGCGTTGAGAAGGGAAGACAGCAACTAGCCAGACAGCAGCCGTGGTTCGTTGGCAGGTTTCCTTCCTCATCGAAATAGCTCTAACATATGACGATATGGATTCAACTGGCATTGACGCATGTGGATTCCTGTAAAAATTACTGTTGGGGAGATTACAGAGGGTAAATATGCTTCAATTTTGGATCTAGCGGTGTGGGGGAAATAATCCAGAGGGACCTTTTGAGGTATATGACAAGAATATCGTAATTTGCCGGCCTGGCCGGCATGGCGAGCGATGCCGCGCCGCGAGAGACGAGTTCCCTAGCCATTCGAATCTGAATAGAGGATGGTGAGGGCGTTACTGAAGCGGCCCAGGCGTGAGTGGTCCTGACTCAGGTTCTTCATGCTTCTACGTATAGCAATTTGCTGTTGATTAAAGGCACGTTCCGCAATAAACTATGGCTAGGTTCTCATAACCGTGCATGACGGTCAAACAAGCAACTTCAGAGGCTATGCTGCTTTTAAAAGTTGAAAAACAGCAAGCAAAACGCAGGGCGATCAGGTTTTAGGCCCATTCGCGCCCAATAAGCCCATGCCGGCCTCCAATCTCCGGCTCTCTCGCCCGTCATTTTCTGGCCTCTCTCGCCTTTTAACAGTGTATCGCCGCCTTTCGCAATTCACAATTGATCTTGACCACCTTACGCTCGTCCCGTGATCATGATCAATTGCAATGAAGAGGGTCTTATTTCGGGCGCTTTTTCGTGCTTCTTTCTTCTTCAGTAAGTTAACAAACACACGGCAATTCCATTTTTGAACTGTATTACCTATGAACTGTGGTCGCGGGACGACTTGTTTTCAATATATTTGAGTAAAAAGCAACGTTAATAAAAAAATGTGCAAAGTATGCGCGGCAAACTACGGTGCTCTTGCCCGTCCCCCCTTTTCGGTAGCCGGTCGCCTGAGGACCACTCCACATTGTCAAGCCCATCACTTATCGTGTTTTGCTCTAGGATCTGGTACGTCGAAGTGGGCGCGATGGTGGTGAGTGTGCGGTTACTGCCAGCGGCATTGGTGGAGGGACTGCAAAACGGCATTTTCCGCACCCCCCCCAGCCGTTCCACCAATCACGCTGGCCGTAGCTGCCCGCCTCCAGCCGTCGTGCCCGCTGCCTTTCGAGTATATCAAAAACCNTCGGTGATTCTAATAATCAAACAGAACATATCGATAGACGGTACTAGATTTTTTGAGTACTAGTTAGCCTAAAAAAGCGACATCTTTCAGTATTAATTATTGGTTCTCATGAAAAATTTCTTCTCAAAAAGCTGTATTGAGATTTCAAATGCACTTCAAACCTTTTTTTCTACACAAGGACGCTTCCTAACTTAAATTGTAGGAACACCTCATGGGCCCAAAGGGTAATCAGAAAGGAAATTGAAATCCAAGAACCGGTGAAACACACACTCATTGACGGCCAGTTCATTCAGTTTATTTGCTAAGCACTCGTTGAATCTGGTCGCAATGGTCCGGAGAGATGAAGCTGAGCAATTCACGAGCATTGCGGAAATAGCGCGTGTGCAAATCCACCTGAAAAGGACTCTTTCAGAACTACGACAATTATTACTACAGAATTAAATGTGTCACAGACACTACAGAACTTTTACTACAGGAAGTTCAAGTTTCAGGTGTTTAGCTACCATTTCTTAAGCGTCAGAATAGTAGCGCTAGCGCCGTTTTCCTCGATTCAATTCAGAACCAGCAGAATGTTCTTCGAACGAACAGGTGAAAAAAAAAAACCAAGGCAGGTCAGGTTTTACATAAGTCGGGGGAAGGAACTTCTTACCCTAAAAAGAAACCAGACTTGAGAAAAAAAGGGTGACAGTTGGTTAGCCGGTTGTTGTCTGCATCAGATGCAGAGCAGCGTAGAAAGTAAAGTTTCCCCAGTGTATTCGAATAATTTTCCCATTTGTTTTTCTCCCAAGAGACATTTGTTGGGAACTTCATTAGTCTCCTATTTGCTCGAAAAAATTGTTCTGAAAATTGCGGCGAGAAAACGACGTTAATGCAAGTATTCCGTTAACCTGGGGGATCGTAGAATCTTTGGTATAATGCATTTGATGCTTAAGTATGTTTTTCCTGAACAGGATTCCATTCGGGGACGTTCGGTGCAGGATTCCATTCGGGGACGTTCGGAGTTGTATTTTAGTCGCAGATGCACCACATGGGCCAAAAAATGGAAACGACCTCAGAACACAGGCAAATGAATCGAGTTGCAAATGGCTTCAATTCTATGGTGAGTGAGCAATAACTTCGACATTTCTGGCGGAAATGGAAAACGGTCGGACAATCTAGTGCAGGACATCTGCCCCCCCCCCACCCTCAGCCATAACCGATAGGATATTTCCCGAAATTCCAATTGCTTATTCATTTTCTTTTGCATCAGAACGTCTAAAAACTAAAAGTTTGGAAACCGATTCGAAAAAATCTTCGGAGGGAGTCTCTTCTCAATAGATGTTTCGCTGTCTTTGAAAGCGTACTGATTCACAAGGTGGTTCCGATGGGTTCCTAATAGGGAAAACTTTGTCCAAAACCTGGCCTGCAGCCTATACCACGGCGAGGTGATGGGGCGTGGCAGGGAGCGTAGTTTTTAACCCAGCGCCCTGTAAAGTCATTCCCTTGAAATCGTTGGTCTTATCTATGCATGCGTCATGCATTCGTCCCATGCAGGTTTTGGAAAGGTGTCACTCCAGTACGAGCGCATTTCCACGGTTATGCAAGACCCATAAATTGCAGATACTTAATTAACATTGCTTTACTTCACCATTTACACGTTTCACACATTTCATACATAGGAGTGCTCTGCGGCTCGACATGGAGGTAGCGTGGTGTTGCAAGCAGACCCTCTTCCTACCAATCCGCTCCCCTCCCCCCCTCCCCCAAACCTCCCCTGAGGATGACTCAACCACACTGCGATGTTGTGTACCACGAACATACCTTGGTATAATCTCCGTTCATGCAATCCGTATGCGACGATGCGATGCGCCAACCTTTCAACGTTAGCTCAAGAGTGTAGGGCTGACCTGGAAAAACATGAAATTATAAAAGTAACATGTTGTTATGTGTTAACACATACTCAGAACGAGAAAAAGAAAATACTTGTTTCAAGGGCATCGGGCACTATGGCGGAGGGGGGTGGGCGGTTGCTGGCAACGTCACTGGTGGAAGGGTTGCGAGAGGGCTTTGGCCACACCCCATTGAGCCCTCCCACCAATGACGTTGGCAGCCCCTCCCAGCCATTGTGTCCATTGCCTTCAATATGAGGTGAGCACGACTAGAATCGGATACTATCTCATAGCTTTTCTCAATATAAAAAAACTACATTTCTGGTAAATCTCAACCATTTCGACTGTTCCTAACCGAGCTCAATTGATCCATTGATGAATAGTATTCTATGAGTTTGTTTTAAGGTTTTCTACAGCATACGTATCAGTGGTATAACACTTAAAGAAAAAGTGGTCCTTTCGGGAAGGTTCTTGCCAAGTATGAGGTGAATGGGATCCCAGCTGCAGTAGCGTTCCACTTTTTTCGCTCGAATTAGCAAGGGAACGGGGCTGGAAGGTAGCAAGACCCGAGTGCCATCTCGCAGTTGTGTTCGCACTCCTCATGGCGCAGCAGTTGCGCTGATAAAAAATCTCGCAGCGAACACGAGTCAGTGGTAACAACCATAAGGGAGAAGACGAACCCGTACAGCGCCTTTAGACATGGTCGAGTGGGACATGGCACCCGGGTATGGTCCACGGACTATATGAACTCGACCCTTTGAGTGTGCTGATTTTCTAGTCTTTCCCTTCAATCTCTCGTCCATATGATATTCTATGGTCACTGTAACCCACTTTCCACAAATCACCTACCGCGAAGTCTCAATTCTCAACCCACTTTCCACAAATCACCTACCGCGAAGTCTCAATTACCAGAACCTGGCTCACCTACCGCGGAGTCCCACCCCTCGAAGGAGTCCATACTCATTTTTCTTGCACAACAAGATGATTTGGCATCCTCTGTTCTCTATCTCTCTGCGTTGCAGGGTTTCGCAATAAGACCATGCACAAAAGTTCTAGGTTCAAACCCCGCGTATCGCTACCATCCAGTCCAGTTCCCATGCATTTTTGAGCGGAGAATGTGGGATGCTACTGCTGCAGAACATCCACTCGTCAACACTTTTCGGTAAGTGCAGCGGCAGCTTACGAAACTTCCGTAGATTTTCCACATAAACACAAGAGCGCCGTTCCCTCCCGACAAGTGGCTCTTCAATGGACGGTCCTACTTTTTCTTATTTCGGTGCTCCTGATTTTGAGAAGCAACTCCTTCAATAATCTTGACATACTAATGGGGTCAAGCAAAAGATACATCTCTTCCGCCTTTCTAGCGAACACCCCAAGGTCTATGGATCCCAAGAAGACTTTACTCAGAGTCTCCTTTCTTGACATAAAAATATGAAAGTATAACTACAAAGCAAGTAGTTCCCCTTTTTCTTTTTCTCCATTCAAATTTTTTTATATTCTGGTCACTAACTGACCAAATATAGAAAGGCATGTTCATTTGGGAGAGGTCTCCTAGACCGCGCTCAGACTTGGAGATCACGCGCTTCAACACGCGACGACGCGCTGTAACGCGCCACATTTGCAACCGCGCCTCAATAATATAGAAGCCGCCTGCTGCAGGTTTATTGTTGCCTAATCACGCAATCCGTTTCGATCGGCAGTGGCCACCGGGACGGCACCGACAGTTCTCGTCTGCGGCTGGGTTATAGTATTAGAACACTGTTACGATTGCAGTGCGTTACAGCGCGTTAATGCGCGTCGTCGCTAAGTCTAAACGCTGCCATTGGAGTGGCGCGATTAGACTCGTCACATTATTCGCACCCAATTAGGTCAAAAATTTCGAAGAAGAAAAGGGAAGGATCTCTGAGAATAAAAAAGAAAAACGAAAAAGAAACAGCTGTGAATGGCCAAATGAGCAATACCTTCTTGTGTTTTCACATTAACGAAGATAAGATCACTAGTCCTTGGAAGCATCTCCGACACACTTATATCTCGAACTTCATGCGACAATTCATGAACAGCTGCTATCGCTTCCAATTCTAATGGACCTCCGGCCTCATTTCTAACCACTCCGCCTTCCTGAAACGAAATTGTGCAAGTGGGACACCTAAAGAAATGAACTAGTGCGACAGTCTGACAATGCAAGCTATTTCCATGAATTCCTGGGAGGGTACAGCATCGTTGGAAGGATGCCATCAAAAGGTCGCACTTGGTCACTGGAGAGAGGGATCGCATTTGCCTTCGAGGAGAATTTTCAAAGCTGCAAGAATTTCTTTTCCATTGATGACTTTTTACAGTTCCTCTCGTGGAAAGCTGAGAAAAGTGCCAGGAAACATTGGAATTTGGTAGCTGGTATAGGGAAGGTGGTCATACCAGATGAAAAAATTTGGGAGTGAGGGGAAGGGGAAATACAGATAAAGCTTCATATATTCCTTTCCTAAACTCTGTTCCAGGAATAATCTCTCAGGTTCCAGTGGCTCAGAACTTCTTTAAAACCGCACCTGAGTGTGACGCCGTCGATTCATGTTGGCGATATCCTCCAGCGATAACGGTGTCCTGGAAGAGAGCAAATTAAAGCAGATATCATTTTGACACCGACAAATTGGAAGCTGAGGGAAAACCAAAATCTTACCTGACTGCCGAGCTTTTATGGATGAAATTGGTGACCAGTTGCTGTGGATTCACCCACATATTTTCAGGGATCTGTTCCGGCGAGAACTGGAATTGCCCGTCCTGTGTCGGTGAATGGGCACGGGAGTTGTGATAGACCTGTGCTGCGGCATTCCATCGAGCAGAACTGGAAAAGCTTGATCAGTTTAGAAGTAAAAGAATTTTGGAACAAGACAAACTTCATGATTTATTGCGAGACATATCCTTCTGACGTGATAGGTGGAGAAATCCTTAGCTGTAAATCACTTTCCGACCCTGGTGGGAACCTCATTACGGGGGTGAGAGGGTGACAGACATTGAGAGGAAGATTTTCGATGGTGTCAGGCGTGTGTACCCCCTCAATCGGCGGCACACAACACTTTCACTTCCAATAGCTGATTGGAGGTTCGATCTAATCAGCCACCTCTTGCTCGACACCAAAATTTGCAGTTAGTGACGAATGCGCTGGGGATACTACGTTTTCAAACGGTTTATGGGAGAAATTCTCGATAACTGCCGGCCGCTAGTGCTTTGAGAGAGTACAGGAGACCAAGAGGGCACGCGTCACCTTACTACACAATGTGTTATCCTCCAATTCTCCTATACCTCTCCAAAACACTAAGGGTCAGCTGACTGCGTTCCTGTCTAAGGCAGTGAAACGCGTCGTAGCGCGACGCAATGCGTTGACGCGCGTCATCGCGAAGTCTGAGCGCTACCTCACGTGTATCAGTCAGTTTCAGAGGCAGCCCTCTACGGACAACTCAACCCCTTTGGCGCCAACCTCTGTTTTTCTCAACGCCTTCACGTCTGCATGCCATTCTATGGCCACCCACACCTTTCACATTCAAGATTTTCACGCATGTGGCTCATCCATCCCGGAGTCCCTTCCCTCTGAAAAAGCATCTTCTAGCTTACAGATGTTTTTTGTACCTCTCGATTCCAACCGCAGTTCCTTATTTCTCTGCGCTCTGGTCTTTCGCAGCATGACCCTCCGCTAAAAGTATTAGCTGTGATGTGCTCGGCCCCCCCCACCCCTCCGAAAGCTGCTTGATTTTAATACTAAAGTGTGATGAATCCGATATGGCATCGATCATGTTGAGCTTCTGGTGCAGCCTCACAAGCGCCGCAAACTCATTTGGCCAAGTCATTAGGAAGCTCTACAAATGGCTGTCGTTTTCACTTACGACTCATTCAAGTTCCAAACGAACAATCAGCTTCCCGTTGCTAGGCTTGAAGCCTCAGCAGGCACGACAAGAGAGCGGTTATTACACAGCACGAAAAAAGTGCATGGGTAAACACCAGAGATCATCTCGCACAGAGAAAAGGGAAAACAATGGAGCAAAGGTCACGGGCTGTTTGGGACTGCAAAACGCTGGAAACCATCCTGGTGGGAAACACTGCACACCAAGTTGTGCTTTAAAGACAGCGTCTGCGCAAGTTGCGCTTTAAAGACAGCGTCTGCGATCAACCAAGGTGGAGGTTTCGTTTAGAGTACAACATGGCGGAGCTTGTGGACACAGCAGATATCCTTTTTTCGCGTCTCAGAAGCGCTTGATAAAAGCACGATAGCTCAGCAACGATGAGCTGACTCCGCCTATGGAGGCGGAGTCGACAAGTTCCACCTCCATCATTTTTCATTACCAAGTTTCGGTAGCGGTGATAATTGCTAGTCTTATCGAGTATGCTTTGGGGAATGAGTCGCAGCAAGTGGCGATCAGATTTAGAGAACTCACTCAAAGTTTGATTAACTCGTCCCGTACATAAGGTCCTTTTGGGACATTTTCAACAGGTCCTTTTGCTTTTTTCTTCATTAGAGTTGTACTTACAACGTGACCTAATAGTACTAAGCTCTACAACCTGTGAAAGGCAAACGCGGGCGCTGTCCTCAGAAGGAAGTGTTGTACTTGATTAAGGGGTACAGGTCATTTCTTATTGAAAAGAGGGGCTAATTGTGAGAGAAAAGAACTGAACGAAAAGGATGACGTACTCTTGTTGCTTGTAGAGTGGCGAGACTCCTAGCGAGTCAGCAAGGGTGTTCGCCGACAGTGAAACCAACGGTACTGAACCGCAAATACATGGCGGTGACTGGTAACCGGCTTTCTGTGGCACTGGAGATTGGCTTGGTGTTGGAGGAGGTGAGCCAGATGGTGATCGTGACATAATCTGTAGATGATTTCAATCTGAAATCACTTCTGTTTCAGCCCAAAGGCGGCTTACAACTCAAAAACGTACGAAGAACGTAATTAAGTACGGCCACAACATTTATGAACTCGGAAGATGATCAAACAGGATGAAAGAGAAAAGAAAAGGGCGAAATGCTGATTGCTCTTTAGCGAAGCACATTTGGAGAATGGAACTCAAGAGCACTAACGAATGCTTGGCAATGTGGAAGAAATGAGGCGAGAGGCAGGCAGGAGATACTAGCCGTTTGGTCCGGTTTCTCACAAAAAAAAGGAAGCAGAATGACGCAATTCAAAGATATTGCCGCCTCAAGGGCCTCATTGATGGAATATCTTTCTGAAATGAGTCATATTCCAGTGAGATTGCTTGGTTTACACCTATTCTATACGTGGATTTGAGACTTCACCCTTTCGAAATCTACAAATGATCTAACAGTCAGGCACGTCTGCCGCTGGGAAATTTCGCGGAGCGTAGGAACCCTTCTCTCACATCCTACCTACCGCTTCTCCATTTTTTTTCCGGAAATCCTGTAGAAATATCCAGCTTTTCTCCAGAATTTAGCTGCGGGCATATCATTAGTCGGGGATATTAAATCTCAGATCGTGAGACATCCCCCCTGGTTCCCTCCTCATAGACCAGTCGAGTCAGGGGCGGAGGTATCTAGTAATCCACATGAAACAGGAAAAATCACAAAAAGTAAGGCAACCTTCTTCAGAAGGTCCAGATTACGAGCTCTACTTCGTTGCGACTCGGAAGTGTTCGTGACTCCACACCCACTTTCGATACAGGAATAAAGGCCTTCAAAAACCTAATACGCAATCACAATTCCGTGGGCAGTGAGTCCATCTATCGTTCCTTAGTGAATATCATTTGACCCTTTGTAAAGAAAGAAGTGGATCGAGCCATCAACGGGACCTTATATTGAGCCCCAGCACTGCACAAGCTTTTGGTAATGAGAAAGACGGCCTGTAAGTGGTGACGAGAGCAAGCAGCAAAAGATGACGAGAAGAGAAAACACAATGGAGAACGAGTGAGAAAGACAGTCACACAGTAGCTAACGCGACTCATCGCCTGTTCGTAAACTTTAGACGGTCTGCATATTCCTCATCAGATGGGTAGTCAGGCGTAGGTGTGTTAGTGAGAAACCCAGGCCAACACCAAGCGCATATACCCCCGTGTACGGATACAGGGTACCAGATTTGTCTAGCTAAGAGAAGACACTGCCTGTGTACATCGGCTGGCCACCGGCCTCATTGTATAGGCCCCCCAGTAAGCCCACCACGATTTGAATGGAAGTAAGACCGTGCACATCCCCACGAAGCGTTGAAGAGATTAAATAAAGGCGAAGACTTGATCTTGTACAATAGGTGATTAAATTTTTAGCGTTGCATGACGGCTGCTGCGCCCCGTCGGCTCAACTATCGTGCCGCGAAGGTGGACGGTCCTATTTCGCGGACCTCTCTCAACTGCTAGAACCACATCCTCCGCTGCATACTTGCAACGAACTTGGATCTCTATTTCTGGACGTATCATCGGGTCATTCAGTCAGCGAAGCCGTTGAACGCTGGACTGCGCTGCCGAATTCGTATGAATTAAATGCTGATTAGAACGAAAGACGACAAGGAGATTGAACGACGACAAGAAGAAAGTAAAGTAGAGATAGTCTTTCAATGAAAAGTCACTTATAAGAAAACAGCAAGTGGTGAACTCATAGTGCTCGAAACTCCATGAAAAAGCTCGTTTACGTGCCGGCCATGGAATTGAATGATTTGCAGAAGAAGCCTCACGTTGTGATGCACTGTTCACACAGCTGTCTTCGCTCATGATAACAAAAGAAAACCAAAGCTCACAGAACTACAGTCCGAACGATTACTAATTGCGAACTGTGGACCACAGAAAAGGGAAATCCTGGAAGGAAACAATACAACAAGTTCCTAAGCTTCCTAAACATGAACACAGAGTAAATGATGCAATTGTTGCGAGGTCCCACCTAGGCGGATTTAAGCCTTTTAGCCTCCATATGGCCTTCCACAGAATCCCGTTACCTGTAACCAAGGTATGCTCATAAGTTAGCGCAAGCATGAGTTCAAGGAGTGCCACACACCTAGTCAACTGGTTAGGAAAAACACGCTCAATTAGTGAATCGCGATACTGAAAAATAACATCACGCAAGTGATCATATGTTCCCTAGGTCACGGCGCTAAAATAAAGAGGCGCCAATAGGCGTCGTTCGCGCGCGCTTGCCTGCAAACACGGGCGGGAGTATGTGGTGAACCCACGGCTGGTGGGCGTGGGATCCATGTCCGCTCCTGACAGATGAGTGCTCTGCGCCTACAGCTTTCAAGATGAGCACTTACAGGGAATGAAACATAGAATATCGCAATTATGGAGTTATTGATGCGCTTACATGTATGGGTGCGCTGCTCCTGGCCGAAAACTGATGAACATCATCGAGAATTCCCCGCGCATTGCGCACAATACCGCCGCACGCGACGAATGCGGCAAATCTAGATTGTCTTTCCGAAGAAGCCCAGAACGGTCACGAGCTGACCTACCCGTACGCAGTAATCTTTGTTCCCGCAGTGGCGGCGCACATGGCCTCCTGCTCGACATCCTCGATCAAAAAGGAGAAAAAACACTCTAGTGGCCAATGCTGAAAGAGACCAATCCTCGTTTGAAGGATGCATCGGTCAAAAATCGTCCACCGTAACCATTCCTTCAACAGATAATGGAAGTGAAAATAAGTCGGCTATGATTAGGACAAGAGAAGAGAGTAGGGGGTTTGCGCAAGTATGCTACAGCTAATAATTATTGAAAACTCCAAAAAATGGCAACATAAGCCTCAAGAACAAGTAAAGTTTCTGTTACGGCTTACCAGGTGTGCAGTGGCTTCCCACAACAAGAGACAGTTCGTACCCTAGGAAACTAACGAGTGGTGGAGAGCTGACGGAACGAAGGAAACGGCAGTCATAACAGGTCCAACAGTACAAATGGGTAAACCAAATCATATCTTAGTAAAACAGGGCGCCAAGCAACTAGTTAGCGGGCGAAAGGGTAGGATATCGAATAGAGAGGCATGCAGTAATGTAACGAAATCAAATCTTTCACCGTACGAAATGATCATCAAATATTGTTACTAATGTTGAACATAAGGGGTAGAAGTGCACCACTCAATGTGGAAAATTAAGTGGGGAAATGTGCATGGAGATCCACCACCAGTGCAATTACGGCGACCGAAGGTGTAGTCACGCTAAAAAGTGGGACTGGAAGCAGAAGATGAAGGTAAAAGTCTATAATGGGACATGAAAAGGCTGACCATGAATGTAGGCTGACTGCTACTCATAGTATAACGTATAGCGTGCTCTGTCGGTGTCCCACCTGAACAGCAGCTCGAGGGGTCGCAGGTCAAGGGATAAAAGGTAATAGGGTGTGGGGGATTAATAGGACGACAAGCACGTGAGCTGAGTGGCCCCGCCCACTGCGGGCGGGCTTTGCCTAGCCAGGAAGCCTCTTATTCAAACAATCCCTGTTCTGCCAGCAGAATACTGAGGATCGAATTAAGTGTGAAACGATAAATAAGATGCACGAAGAGACGGAACACAACCCACACTGCGAGAGGGTGCGAAGGCTATTATAGACTGGGCGTAAGGCATTCCTGTCAGAATATGAAGAGTGGAAAAAAAAATCGCGGATTCCGGTAGCGGATGCGCGACTGGCAATGAGATGAAGCAGGAAACGGTTCACGCGACCGAGCCGTAGGAAAAACGAAGAACATTTGACAGAAGCAAGGCAGGAGGAACTGTATGGTGGAGAACCCCATTGGCATTCTGACCTTGATAGTGGGTATGTCAACAATAAAAGGAGCCTTGTGTCAATAAATGTTAAATAATTCATGGCATATAAACGATCAAGTGCGGGCCCCCACCGTATTGTGAAGAAATTTGAAAGTCAAAAGGAATATTACCAGGACGCGAGAATGAGCAGGACAATTTGCTTTGAATCTGAAACGTAAATCCAAGAAATCATAAGTTGGCGTCAGAAAACAATTCCAGACCGTTACCACGTTCCTAGCTTCAATCTATCAGCCTATTATTTAATTATTTTTCAAAAATATCTAGATCTACTATAACCCCATTTGGTGATGGGTATGTACTTGGACAATACTGGCCATTTTGGAAATAGGCCCTTCAAGGGACCTTGGTCAATTGTTACAGCGAAAAATCATTCTTTTATCCATAAAGGTGAGACCATCAAGTGCTTTCCATGGTTCCGCAAGGAATTCCTGTAAATCGCGTGACTTCGTCATCAATTTCCATTTCCATTTACTCAGTAATCAAGAGAACCCAAATCCAATGATGCTCTCCGCATAATTTATCTATGGGAATCGCTGGGGTTCAGCAATGAGTGTGCAGCTCATTTTTATACGCCGCTAGAACGTGCGTACCAGCAGTGAAAGCAAAAAGCAGAAAGAAACCAGCCGGAAACACGATATAGAACCCGTGCTAAACTGCGCTTGGACCTGCAAGAAAGGTGCCAACCCTTTCTTCTATCACCTTACTCTCACATCAGCATCGAAATAAAGTGTCAGTGCGACAGGCGCGGAACAACCTCACCAATAGGAAACCATACGACGAACGTCGCTGTGGCCAGAGGAGACGCCTCACCCCGCGTCATGAAGAGGGTGGACTCTTCTCACGTATTTTCGGCGAGGCTCGCGAATAGATACATACACCATCCTTGCAAGGAGGTCTATACAATTCGAAAGAATGGCGTTTTGAAAGCCGACGTGCGCCGGAGCGTGCCACTGAACAGCCCGCGCGACAAAGACAATGAACTGCCTTGAATTTCACAGGAAGCAAGCCTGATCTACTATTATGCTGGTGGGCAAATCCCGCTTGCCCAATGGTTCGGGTTGGAGAATGACATTTGCGGCGGAAGCAGCGCCATGCGCTGTCTTCGCACGGCGACCTAAATGACTT